ACAAGCAAATGACGCGAGGGCGCTGTGATGGATGTGCAACGCCACGCAGATTTGTGGATTTTGACCGTCGGCAACTCAAGCCTTGGAGTAGATAGAGCACGTGCTTATGGAGCACGTGCTTGTAAATCGGCGTGTACGTACGATGTAGATTGCCGGCGTGCCTCCTCTCTGCTGCTGTGAACACGAAGGTATCCCAATGCAGACATTGTGTCCTTGTTATCTCTGTCACCGTGCAACATAAGACGCGCGTGCGTGCGTGTGTTATGCGGCTACTTCGCATAATAAAACAGGTAAAGGCGCAGCCCTGAAACTGGTTGCTCACGCCACTGCTGACAGAAAGGCCTCCACTCGAGGAAGCTCTAGAAAGCCCCTCTAGACGGTATTGGGCCTACTCTTGCACGCTTGTCAGACGTCTTGGACGAGATGGAAGGTCCCCACACTTTGCCACACCACACGTGACGTTCCGATCGACTACCTGGTGTTCCAATTTTATGCTGCTGAGTTGACAGAGGCAGGGGTATTGAAGAATCATGCCCATTGCTTTAAGTGCATATCTAATCGAACCCGCAGCATAGGGCAGTGCAGCCAAATGATGATTGTACTCTACTTCTATGTTCCCACGTCTATGCCACTGCTGCACATGTGCATATACATTCCAAATCGAGCACGAGTGCCGTGTTTCAACGGCACAAAGGACAGACCACTTCTGGAACCGCCACGCTCATACGAGAGATAAGAGTGAACATGAATACTGTAAAACATCCTTTATCTTTGCCACAACAAAGAGCATCTATAATATTATAAAAGCGACAGATCCTCTATAGATGCAAAGCATCGGTAAGTAATGCCGTGCTTTATCTTGAAAAATGCGTCTATTGATTTTTGTTCCTCTCGAGTTCTTAAGCGTCTTTGAATTATCGTCGTGAACACGAATCACGTGAGGCTTGTCACCTAACTCCACACCCGTGACTCGGTCCGGGAGACAGCAGCGCCTTGGTTCGACAGTGAGCCTTATATCTAGTTGTTCATTGTTAATGCGCTATGAATTGGATGCTACTACGGTGCCGTGTGCAATGGTGAGCAGCACGATTGGCGTGCAATTCAGAGGTCGTCGGCCTGCTCGATCTCCCGTGGCGGCAGTTGAAACAATAGGCACGTTGAAACAATAGGCAAGTTGAAACACTAGGCACGTTGAAACAATAGGCACGTGGAAACAATAGGCACTTTGAAACAATAGGCACGTTGAAACAATAGGCACCTTGAAACAATAGGCGCGTGGAAACAATAGGCACTTTGAAACAATAGGAACGTTGAAACAATAGGCACGTTGAAACAATAGGCACGTTGAAACAATAGGCACGTTGAAACAATAGGCACGTTGAAACACTAGGCACGTTGAAACAATAGGCACGTTGAAACAATAGGCACGTTGAAACAATAGGCACCTTGAAACAATAGGCGCGTGGAAACAATAGGCACTTTGAAACAATAGGCACGTTGAAACAATAGGCACGTTGAAACAATAGGCACCTTGAAACAATAGGCACGGTGAAACAATAGGCATGTTGAAACAATGGACATGTGGAAACAATAGGCACGTTGAAACAATAGGCACGTGGCAACACTAGGCACGTTAAAACAATAGGAACGTTGAAACAATAGGCATTTTTAAACAATAGGCACCTTGAAACAATAGGCACGTTGAAACAATAGGCACGTTGAAACAATAGGCACCTTGAAACAATAGGCACGTTGAAACAATAGGCACGTTGAAACAATAGGCACGTTTCTTAAATCTCTGCCTCTCGACGATGGTAGTTATACAAAAATAAAAAGAGATCCCACCAACAGCCTCGTCACACAAACCAACAAAATAATTTCTGATTCAACCGCATTAATTAATCAATCTAAACAGTTTTCGTTGAAACCTTCTGCTGCCAGGCCACCAAGATCATACGGCTTACCAAAAATACATAAAGTAGATACACCTCTTCGTCCCATAGTCTCTACTATCAGCTCCCCCACCTACAAACTAGCTCGTTTTTTGTCTGAAATCCTGCGTCCTTTCACTGGAAAGACCACCTCTGCGGTACAAAATTCTACTCACCTGGTATCGACAATCAAGGGTATTTCCCTGTCCCCAGACGACCTGCTTGTCAGTTTTGATGTAGTTTCCTTATTCACCAAGGTTCCTGTACCTGACACCATTGCAATCATTGAAGACTTGGTTAATCAAGGACTAAACACTGAGGTACCCCCCTGGTGAGACACTGTTTAACCAATACATACTTCACTTGGAATGGAACTTTCTACAAACAAACTGAGGGCACCCCAATGGGCTCCCCCCTTTCTCCAGTTATAGCTAACATTTTCCTGGAGAAATTTGAGACTGACGCCATCCAGACTGCCACTCTGCGCCCAACCTTATGGAAGAGGTACGTGGATGACACTTTTGTCATCTGGCCACATGGCCGGCCTGCTCTAGACCAATTCTTCGACCACATCAATTCCATACACCCAGCCATCAGATTTACCATGGAAGTCGAAATAGATGGCAAGATACCTTTTTTGGATGTCCTAATTAAAAAGAGACCTGATGGTTCAATGAGCCACTCTGTCTACAGGAAAGCTACCCATACGGATGCTTATCTGAAACCGGATTCCCACCACCATCCATCACAGAAGAATTCTCTCATCAAGACTCTGTATCATAGAGCCCAATGCATATCCGACCAGGAACACATAAGCAGTGAACTCAAGCACGTACACCAAGCTCTTAGGGCTAATGGTTACTCCGACTATACAATCTGCAAAGCTATCACTCAAACCATGAAGAAGAACCCTCTTGAGGAGCCTTTCAAAACCATCACTTTACCCTACATTGCTGAGATCACAAAAAAGATCTCCAAAATCTTGAATAAACACAAGATCCAGGTCCGTTTCAACACATTACATAAAATCCGTGATCTGGTTCCGTCTGTAAAAGATGTGATTCCGGACATACAATACCCTGGTGTCTACAAACTAAGTTGCCTCTGTGGTAGTAGTTACATTGGAGAAATCAAACGCCATGTCTCGGACCGCATTCGTGAACACAAGGCAGACCTTAAACACGGTAGGACCAACACCTCGGACGTAGCAGATCATTGTTCTAATTCAGTGGGCTCACATGCCATTGACTTTTCCAAGACAGAGGTTCTTTGTAAGCCATCTGGCTTCCATGAGAGATTCGTTCATGAGGCTATCCACATATACAAGCACAGAGACAATTTCAACCGAGAAGATGGATTCTATCTTAGCAATCATTGGAAAGTTTTGATAAACCATTTCAGTTCTTAATTGATTGTTCACGCTTACAGTGGCTTTCAGACAGCATACATTATAAAAAATTTCGTCTCCCCCCTCCTCTTTTCAAAATATAGATGGACTAGTCCTGGGTAAACTGCCAAATCGCTGCGCGTGGCGCTAACGTTTTTTATAAATAAATAAATGCGCCGTTTAAAAAAATTAATTTATGCAAACCAACACACCTGAAGATGACCGTTTGAGTTATGGTCGAAACGTCGTGAGAATTTTTTTGTTTTATATATATTTTATTATTTTGTTGTTTCTCTTCAACGTGACTTTACCGAAAAAACTAAGAATATCTCTGCCTCTGTCGCACCGGCAGTATATATGGGTGGGTGCGCCACATTTAGTCGAACGGAGAGGTTGCGTGTGTCGGGATGAAGTGTGGGTAATCCCACCTCTTCCGGGGCATGCTGGTCAGTGTGAAAGAGGAAGCCAAATGCCCTCCAGAAGGACTTTCTATGGCTCCATGTTCACGCAGACTCTTCTGCAAGCAGTGGCGTCATCGATAATTTTCAGGGCTGCGCTTTTACAAAGTAACGTTTAATTAAGGGTAGTCTACCTACAATGTAATTTCTACTTTATAGCCACTTAACGACACCGCAACTGAAGAATTATTTTTACAAAGCAGTGTGGTGACACGCTTATCCCAGAGAGACGATGCATGTTTAGTTCATAGGGAGGCGGTTCGAGGCAGAGGAGGAGAGGAAGAGAGGCAAGGGAGTCGACAGCACGGAGAGCGGCGGAGGCAGCAGGCGAGGATGATCAGCCTCCTTGCACGGATGCTGAAGTTCGATTACAATTGCGAGGAATAACAATGCATGCACGATGATCAAAAGTAGACCCTAAAGACTCTGCGATATAGACGTATTCACAAGATAAGGCTCGTGTGAGTTGGCACCATAGCTCACGTTCCCTATCAAATTAATGATAATAAAGGTGGCGATTTAGAGCCCTATATCAATCCACTGCTGAGTGAAGGCTTTCACCACGCCGCGTCGTTATTATGCTACGTTTGACCATACTTCACCACGCTGGTCAGTGCGGATTCGTCAAGTAGGTGGCTCCATGACCAGGTCAGATGTCACTCACCGCTGACGTTAGCAGCAGCTGGGAATCAAACAGAGGTAACCCGGGATCATATCTGGAACATAATAATAATCCTCAACAAACGTAGGGTATCCACGTCTCGCAAGACACAATGGGTCGCAATGGGTCACAATGGGATCGTAGATGGAACGGATAGATAACATCACGCGGGCAATTGTTTGACACGTGGATCATCGCGCGCTCTCCCATTTACAAAAACGTGGGCGTACGTCACGAAACGCACATCTGGAGGTCATTCTTCACCTTCCCTACTATGTAAGGCAACTCAATCTGGAGTCTCGTGGCCATGACATTGATTTTACCCACACACCCCACATGATACACATCGCATTCAGTGCAAAGCAACATGCGCCAGACAATTTCTCCGTATACTCTACACAGTATTGCAGAGCGTTCTCTACGGTCGATTGTTTTGAATATAAAAAAAAAATTCACAAAAAATAATGGCAATTGCTTACCCTCGACAGCCTTACTCTGCGTCTCAAAGACTTTTGTTTTTCTTCACGTGGGTTCCTGCTACATCGGGGTGCTTGACCACTAACCTTGACTGGGTGGCTTCACGTGGTAATTAATCGCAGCACGAGGAGATATGTCGGCACGCATTCTCGGTGACACTCAGCACTGCCATCTTCTGGTCATCTCGCAGCAGCGTCCCACGCCTTCACATCTAGCGACAAGCAATTGATGGTGAATCACCCTCCTCCAAGTACTGCACGAACCAGTCTCAAAGCCCGCTTAGCTTCCGAAATCTAGCCAGATCGGGCGCATTCCATGTGGCTTTGTCCTCGGCATTTGTTGAAATTGCACGTTACTATAGGTACGTGTCATTTTTTGAATAAGTACCCTATATACAAAATAATAACGCCTTGCATATACCCATGAAATCCTCAGTGAGTTCCAAGACTCTCAAGATTATCTTAAATTTGGGTCCCGCACTGAAAGGTTTAGTCATTTCAATTCGTGTTTTGCAGTGCAGAGCAACTGGGTATGGTATACAGTATATATGAGTAAATGCTGTATAGCATGAGCTTCAATTCACGTATGCGTATTCACGCGTTGGAGTGGTGGCGCAGTGATTAGCACATTGCGCTACGAACCCGGCGACCTTCGATTCCCGATCACGACTATCTTCAGTGGCGAATGATATCTGAACTGGTCCTGCTCACACAGCCCCTAACCAGCGTGGTGAAGTATGGCCAAACAACCCCAGTAAGACCGATATGGCGTGGGCATGTTCTTCACCCAACAGTGGGTTGACAACAGGACTGTACATTGATATTCTTCTCCCAAACTAAGTCATAACTCATGATTAAGACCATAATTCAAGGACCTATTTATATTGAAGCGGTTTTTGATAATAATTGATTTTGTTGCAAACTAATCTTGTGCTACGCCCAGCGCCCTTAACACACTCAGGCCGTTTTCATTAATAACCGCTTGCTCCCACCACGAAGGAACACTGAGCTATAATTAGCAATCAATGTCCACTCAATAATGCCAAATGTGCTCATGCTCGTCAGATCTCGGAAGCCAAGCGGGGCCGGGCCTGGCCAGCACTCGGGTGGGGAGGCCGCCTGGACATGCCAGGAGGTGTTCTGCACTTGGGCTTCAAGGTGGCCGGGAATTGGCGGTTCAGCTGATGGATGCTTGATTCTATTTGCGCTTTAACGTTTAAAGCTTTACCACCTCGCGTATGCTTGGTTAGGTTTCTCTCTGGGCTCCACGGTTTCACTCATCGCTGAAACTCGCCGAGAATGCACATCTAGTCGGACTCTCCCGAAAAAAAAAGAATTCTCGACATTCAGTGAGGCTTTTTTAATAGGTAAATAAAGAACATTTATAATGCTCGTATTTAATTATTTTGACGTGCGACTGGTGGGTCAATTCTGATAAATTGCACACTTGTGAAAAATAAACCCCACAGTGATGCGTTGCTGGAGGTACGCATCAATGAACAGAGGTCACTCGACAACAATTGAATCAGCCGAGGTTCACGTGCGACTTCTGGTGGAGAATCAGAATCAATGCCGAGGAGGTCGCCATGGGAGGCACACACGTGCAGAGTGCATGAGGCCAAGTTACCGATGCAGATGTTGCAGTGGACACCCAGAGGTCAACGACCAAGGGGAAGACTTAGAGCCAGATTGTTGTGGCGATGAGACACGAGGAGCGGCGCTTGTGATTTCGGGTGCCCATTGTGGAAACAGCGAGGAACGAAGTGCTGGCGAGCTGTGGTGGCATCAGTGTGTGGCATTGGCCGTGGTTACCTCCTGACTCGGCCTGCACAGGGACACGCTTGTGCATCAGCAGACGCTACGGACTGCGTGATCACGAAATGCGTAAAGCTCCGCGTGCGCTACAGGCGCGACTCGCGACGCCTCGTGGCTGCGCCGCGGTCTATTGTTTGTTTGGCGTGGACTCCACGCCGCCGCCGTGTGCATGAGACTTTCCATCCCCCCCCTCGCCCGCTTCCTCCTCTCCCCAACAACAACAACGACACCACCACGGCCACGACTCGCGTCACCCACCACCACACCCACCTACCCAGCCACTCGCTCACGCATCCTTCCCGATAGCAGGGCCGCCCCCACCACCACCGCGTCCAGCACCTAACTCCCACCTCCCCCTCCTCCACCCCACCACGGCAGTGCTCCCCATTCCTGCCTTACTCCCCCCACTCCTCCCCCCAAGCAATCGCACGCGAGGCGGCGCCCGTGGAGGACTCGCGCCAGGACTTTCGTGATGGCCGTGATGGCCGTGAGGCGCGCGGCTGTGCGATGTTGCGCGCTCGGCTAATCAAGTTCGCGTCAGCGCGGGTACAGCGTGTGGCGCTGTGCTGCTCTAGAGTAGCGCTGTAGGACGCGTTTATATATATAGAGAGAGAGACGTTCCAATACGCACGCGTGCATACCTGATCGACTCATTCCGTGAGTTTTTTTAAGGACTTGGGAATTGCTCCGATTCCAGCGGACACTCTCTCTGTCTCTCGCTCGCTCGCTCGCTCTCTCTGCGTATGGCGTAACAGTTGAAGCGAGCGGCAGAGCCACGCCAGGGTGACTGCGTTACCGCCTGCTTTCCCGCCTGCGGTGTTCTGCAGGCGGAATGGTGCGCTCAGTAGCGCCGCGTCGCCGCTCCTGCAGGCAAGCGTAGGGCGCAGAACGTGCGGCGGAGTTCCTCGGCTCGCTGCGTCGCGACCAAGGCGAGACACCGCCCGCCGGACCGCGCCTTGGGGGCGGCGCTTTTTCTTGTTTTACCCCCTCCCCCGCTCCCTCCTTCTCTTCTGACAAGTCAGCTGCTCAATATCTGTTCATTTTCTCGTCGTTTCAATATTTCGCGAATTGAGCGCAGCTTGGATGAGTGTGCGCCGTCGCCCACGATCCGGGAGGGACCTTCTCTTGCAGTCGCCTCCTGCGCTCGAAACGAAGAGGCGCAAAATACCTGGACCTTTAATCCATCATCACCATACACACACACACACGCGGACACGGAGAGGCAGGTACACGTGCGCACGTACACGAGCACGCGCGTGTGCACTTGAGCATGCTGCTCGCTGCGCGGTGACTCGAAGGCGGTGCTGGTGCTCCACGTGCACTCCTAGTGCGTTAAACGGAGCGAGGAGGTCTGTTATTGTCGTCATCTACACAGTGGCGATAGATCACACACAGAACACGCGCGCTACACGCGCTGCTGGCAGGGGTGATGCTGCGTCTGTAGCCTGCACACACGAGGCGCGTGGCGGCTTCTGGAGGGGGTTTATAATCGCATCGAGAAGGCAACCGAAACAACATTTTTTTTTTTAAAACCGTAACCCCAAGACAAGACGATGAAATCCGTGTCGGTGAACAGGGACGGGACGCAGTACGCAACGGAGACCAGGAAACCGGCGGTAAGTTTGTGTTCGCATTTCACGGCGCGCACTCCACATGCGGCAAACGAAAAGCAATGCAATGCACAGCCCTCGCGTTAATCCACTGCTGGATGAAGGGCGCCTCCCGCCGTGTTGGTCGTCGACGGTGTTTGACCGACTATACTTCACCACGCTGGTCCGTACGAGTTGATGAAGGGGTGGAGCGGGAGGCCGGTGAGTACCGATTAAGATATCACGGTCACATTGATGTTAGCCTTGGCTCGGGTTAGGCTGGTTCGCAATGCACTCCGCTAACCACTGCGCCACCGCTCCCCAGACGAGGACAATGTGAAGGAGCAGCGCTGCTATTGCTCGCTCACCCCACTGATGGCGGTAGGGCGCCTACTAGAGGGAGCTCTCCAGAGCCCCTCCAGTAGAGGGTTCGCCAGCGATGCGTCTCGGCGATGTTGGTCGGTGACTGTCGATTGCCCATGATGAGTCTTCACGACCGTTGTGTTGTGTCCGCGCCGCTCATTGCCAAGTAAGGCGCACTCTGAACGGCGCCTGTGCAGTCCACATCGGCGTTCGCTGTGCACCGTAGCCTGCCCGTGCCGTTGGGACCTTGTGCTGTGTGTGTGGTGGCCACGACACTCCCAGGCATCTCCGTCCTGAAGCCGTGTTTTTTTGCGATTGAATGTCAGCGAACGAAGCCACAAGACATCGCTCTTGGATACGTGTACACTCTTTAGTATGCAGCCATGTGAGGATCCGTTTGAATGTAATAAAAAATACATCGTCTTTACGCCGCTCTCCCTTCCTCTCGCTCATCATCTCATATGAAAATTAAATAAATCTTCCGGATCGGCCCAAGTGATGTTGTGAGCACACGCTTCAACAGCCATAGCGAGAGGACAGGAACGGTTCAACCTTGTGAGCAATGTAGTCTACCGTGTTATGTGAAGCAATCCAATTGGCTATATCCTGCACAACGCAACACTTTAGCCCATAGAACACTGCACGAAAAGGGAAACGATAATAGGGTCACATATTGGGAAAGGATTGGCGTGAAACGTCGCCCCCTTGTACGCGTTTAATTTTGTTTCGTTCTTGCTGTTATTTGCGCACGGAGCACGGCCACATCCGAAGCGGTCATCCCGCACAGCGTCTTGCTCGCTGGCCTCTGTTGTTGAGAGCGCTCTGTGGCTCGAGTGCGGATGGGGCGCCTCGTCACGCCCGGGTATGACGAGCGCGCGGTCGATGCGGCGCTCCATCAAGAGAGCGCGGCTGCTGTTTCCCCAGCCGCTGCGCGGACGCGCGAAGCATTCCTGAGCAGTCGACCCGCGAATGCGCCGGGGACAGACAGATTTCAATTCCCGAGCGTTCGTCGAATCTCCCAGAGTGCTATGCGTTTCCCATTAAATTATTCAACGGTTTATCTCGAGTAACGATCACCGCACATGGACTTGCGATTCAGATGTATGCTGAACTTCTTTCGCGCCGTACGTAGCCAAACCTGTTCGATTTCTCCGCGCGGCAATTGAAACAATTGGATATTTTTTTTCTCAGAAATTCTCCACCCCACCTCGCCCACCCTCTGTATAACCATCAGCATAAATGAGGGTACACCATAGTTCGCGTGCGGTGGGGTAAAGTGTGGGTAACTCCCACCTATTACAAGACCTCGGGCTAGTGTGGAAGAGTAGGCCAAATATCACCCAGAGGGGCCCGTCTTGAGCTCGTCTTGTGGGAGGCCCCTTCTGCCAACAGTGGCGTGAGCGAGCAATTACAGATTTGGCCCTTTCACATTTCGCCTCGCTGGTTGCCACTTAGTGAGGCACATTCTCGTGATGCTCTCGAAAGGGCTCCTGAGCTGAGAGTTGGCACACGGTATCTCGGAATACATGCACATTACAAAACAAGAGATAGCATTTGGTTCTGGAGGTTGATTGGTTTCACTTATCGGGCACGGTCTTCCTTAACTCTCTAAAACTCCGAGCCACCGCTCCACACGGCAACCCGAGTTCCATTCCCCGCACATGGCCAACATCAGCGGCGAATGAAGCATTTCCTGCCCCCCACCACCTACCCCCTCACCTACCCCCTCACCTACCACCCCACCTACCCCCTCACCTACCCCCTCACCTACCTTCTCACCAACCCCACCACCTACCCCCCTTTTCACTAACCCCACCACCTATCCCCCTTTTCACCAACCCTCAATGACCTGCATGACGACGTATGTTCAAACAATTCCCAAAACCAAAATGCAAATGAGGCCTTCATCCAGCATTGGATTCATCGATGCAATGCTATCTATTATCACTGAACCAATTGATTTGTCTGCGTGGAGTCTGACCCTAAAACCGGTAAATACCATGTTGAAGCTCGCTGATGCAATATACAAATGTATTTGGCGAACTAGCAATTGATTCATTGTTTACCTGGAAGTCCATTGTGAGCCAGAGCGATTGGAAGAGGCTTCGAACCGTAGCGTAATTTGATAAATGGTATTACTCGAAATGTCAAGTCCAGCTTTAATTGTTGCACGGAGAAGACACAGGCGCTGTTAATTTGTAATTAATTGCGGCGTCTCTGCGCGGCTCGCTTCGGGAGCGTTTCTCCGTTCGCTCATTCCCCAGAGCCCTCGAGCGAGACTCGGCGATAGAAACGAGAGGGCGACGATGGTCATGGTGGAGCGGTTGTCGGTTGGCTCCTGCGGCCACGAAGAGAGGCGACAAGCACGCGCGCCCATGGCCTGGCTGGTGATTGGGTGTTTCGCGCTTGTGCGGGTCGCTCAGACAAACACATAAATAAATAAATAACTCGATTAATCCCTTCCAGGGGTGGGGGCGCTTCCTCCAATTAATGGTAATTAGCACAGCAGGCTCGTAATGGTCCAACAAGCCCGAACGTCATTTATTCATTTGTGTGTTTCCGGAAAATCCTTTAGTGCCGTCCTTTAGTGCGAGTGCGTACTTGAAGAGGGGAGCACCAGCAAGCACGTGACGTCGGTGTGATGTCGCTGTGATGTGGTGGTGATGTAGGTGTGATGTCAGTGTGATGTATGTATGATGTCGTTGTGATGTATGTATGATGTCGCTGTGATGTAGGTGTGATGTCGTTGTGATGTATGTATGATGTCGCTGTGATGTAGGTGTGATGTCAGTGTGATGTCGGTGTGATGTCGGTGTGATGTAGGTGTCATGTCGCTGTGATGTCGCTGTGATGTCAGTGTGATGTATGTATGATGTCGCTGTGATGTATGTATGATGTCGCTGTGATGTCAGTGTGATGTATGTATGATGTGGTGGTGATGTAGGTGTGATGTCGCTGTGATGTATGTATGATGTGGTGGTGATGTAGATGTGATGTCAGTGTGATGTATGTATGATAACGCTGTGATGTAGGTGTGATGTCGCTGTGATGTATGTATGATGTGGTGGTGATGTAGGTGTGATGTCAGTGTGATGTATGTATGATGTGGTGGTGATGTAGGTGTGATGTCGCTGTGATGTATGTATGATGTGGTGGTGATGTAGGTGTGATGTCAGTGTGATGTATGTATGTATGCTGTGGTGGTGATGTAGGTGTGATGTCAGTGTGATGTATGTATGTATGCTGTGGTGGTGATGTAGGTGTGATGTCCGTGTGATGTATGTATGATGTGGTGGTGATGTAGGTGTGATGTCAGTGTGATGTATGTATGATGTCGCTGTGATGTAGGTGTGATGTCGCTGTGATGTATGTATGATGTGGTGGTGATGTAGATGTGATGTCAGTGTGATGTATGTATGATGTGGTGGTGATGTAGGTGTGATGTCGCTGTGATGTATGTATGATGTGGTGGTGATGTAGGTGTGATGTCAGTGTGATGTATGTATGTATGCTGTGGTGGTGATGTAGGTGTGATGTCAGTGTGATGTATGTATGTATGCTGTGGTGGTGATGTAGGTGTGATGTCCGTGTGATGTATGTATGATGTGGTGGTGATGTAGGTGTGATGTCAGTGTGATGTATGTATGATGTGGTGGTGATGTAGGTGTGATGTCAGTGTGATGTATGTATGATGTGGTGGTGATGTAGGTGTGATGTCAGTGTGATGTATGTATGATGTGGTGGTGATGTAGGTGTGATGTCGTTGTGATGTATGTATGATGTGGTGGTGATGTAGGTGTGATGTCAGTGTGATGTATGTATGATGTGGTGGTGATGTAGGTGTGATGTCAGTGTGATGTATGTATGATGTGGTGGTGATGTAGGTGTGATGTCAGTGTGATGTATGTATGATGTGGTGGTGATGTCGCTGTGATGTATGTATGATGTGGTGGTGATGTAGGTGTGATGTCGCTGTGATGTATGTATGATGTGGTGGTGATGTAGGTGTGATGTCAGTGTGATGTATGTATGATGTGGTGGTGATGTAGGTGTGATGCCAGTGTGATGTATGTATGATGTGGTGGTGATGTAGGTGTGATGTCAGTGTGATGTATTATGATGTGGTGGTGATGTACGTGTCATGTCGCTGTGATGTATGTATGATGTGGTGGTGATGTAGGTGTGATGTTGCGGTGATGTCGGTGTGATGTCGCTGTGAGGCTGCTGGGGTGTGTGTGAGATGTGTGAGATGTGTATGATGTCAGTGGGATGTCAGTGCAATGTCACGGTAATGTCGCGGTGATGTCGATGTGATGTCGCTGTGAGGCTGCTGGGGTGTGTGTGGGGAGAGCTACATTTGGTTCACCGGGTGCCACGCGACATGATGATTACGGTTTGTCACCAGGTGCCATGATTTCCGGTTACACCTGCACTGTAGCTAGAAATTATTGAGCAAGGATGGTGCTTAATTCCCATTCTTGGCCCAACATTCCACGTTACCCCCGAATACCCAGCTCAGATATGCGTTGTGTGCACTCCCACAGCAAGTGGACTGGACACTTGCGGGACAACTTAAATAGCCAATGAGATATGAGATTTCTTACTCCAACGTGTAACTGAGGCCCAAATACTGCCTGCTACTGCTGATACCCGTGTGATTATTGATTTGCATTCACTCCTGTTTTCTGTGCATCGATTATTTCTGTTCTCTGCGGTTGTGTGTGGATGGGTAACGCATGAAATTGTCTCACGGAACTTGAACATTTATAATATTATCCGTGTCTTTTTGCATGTAAGAAGAATCGCCTATAATTGACAGAAATGTCATACTATTTTCCCTTATATGTAGATGACTATGCTTAATAATAAAAGTAATTTCCTTGGATGTACACGAACAGCCTGGTTGTCAATCCACTGTTGGACGAGGACCTGCTAGGCCATGTCGGTTGTGAGGGTTCCATCCATTCTTCTGTCCACGGTGCCCATAGAACCTGGTATTTGTGCATGGTCGTGGTGACCCATCACAGCATTACCTCGTCTCAACCCTGCTTAGCTTTTGAGGTCAGATGGGACCGGGCACATACCGAGTGCTTTGGTGGTCATAGACAATGTCCATGGATAATCGTGGGTAATAGCTTCCACTATTCGCGACTCCCCAAATCACCACAGATAACAGACGTTTCACTGTAATTACATTCCCAATAAAGCGGTGTGGGATTGATCCAGCCCAAGCTATTGTGCCACGGTGTCGCGAGGCATTTCTTCGGCACGCAGAAATTAATTCGTGTAATTTCGGTGAAGTAATGAAATACGTCAATCTTCCTGCATGGCAGCTGAAACGGCTGGCAAGTTTCTTAAAGCGTGGTCTCTCCCACCTCTTCCAAGGCGTCTGACCAGCGTGGAAGAGTAGGCCAAGTTAGCCTAGAGTGGATGCTCCCGAGGGCCCTCTAGTGGAGGACCTTCCACCAGCAGTGGCGATGTCAAGCAATTGCAGGGCTGCACCTTTAACCTTTCACTTTTTAGTTTGTTTTTGTTGTTGTTGCGAGCTGGGTGATTTTCTGACGAGACAACTTGCATTTGTAGAGCGGCGTCTAAATGCAGCCGCATCTCAAGGCTCCGTAAAGCAACGGCAGCAGCGTGGGACATGGACAGCCAGGTTAATAAGGAGACGCCGCTGCGGCTTTACCTTCTTATATGTTCATTTGATCAAACTTTCGCCGCGCGCGGACAAACAGGCGTCGTCGGATGGCAGCCAGCCCCAGGCGAAGGGCGCCGCCGCCGCCGCCGCCGCCGCCTCCCCGGACGATCGCAGCGGCCTCAAGAGGCCCACGCCGGAGGGGGCCGGTGCCGTCCCGGGGGCCGGAGCGTGGGCCGGCGAGGAGGCCAGGGTGGGGGGGGCCCCCGCCTGGTGCGCCGTGTGCGGCCCTCGCCAGGGGGAGCCGCGGAGGAAGCTCGCCTCGCCCGCCAAGGTCAGCCCAGCCCGTGACCCCCATAGCGTGTGTGTGGACCTCGTTCAGAAAAGGGGCTTGTGGGGCATTGCGGGTTCGAAAGAAACTCTAAATCGGAATATTTATGTTATGCTGGAGGAATCCGATGAGCTATGAAGCTCTTTTTTTCACAGTTGACATGTAAGCAGCCGGGGCACGACAAGGTCGATGGTGAATAAGCGTGACGGTACGATCCGACTTCTGATCGAGCTCTCTCTCTCCGGGAATGTTTGAGAATAATCTCTGACGCCCATGGCGTGATCGTCACCGGCGCTAGCTATTGTTTACCAGCAGTGTTTGACTTGGCTATAAGAATTCAGATGCGGGGCTGAGCCTTAAGCAAGGAGGGAAAGGGATGGGGGTGGGGGTTGGGTCACAGCTCCCACCAGCCCCACCAAGACGTTCAGTTTCGGCAACTGTGCGAAACCGTGAAAAGTCAGAACGTGATTTTTGTCCTCAAGATTGTTTTCATCGCGGCCACAAAAGCCGGTATTTTCCAGTCTCTCCGCGTCTCTTCACAGGGGATAATTATTGGTTGTAAATAATGTTCGTTATCAGCTATTGTCTGTCCACTGCTGGATGAAGGCCTCCCCCATACCGCCACCACCCCTTCACGGGCCAGAGCTGCAGCCGTCCGTTTCACTACCGCCCTTGAACTGACCTCATCGCTCCATCTCGCAAAAAAAAAAAACCTGGATTCATTATAAACGTAGAGGAAGAAAGAATTATGTTAGTGGTATAGACCTTCTGTAAACACAATCTACACACGCACACACACACCGAGTGAAAAATGGGATTCCAGTGATAACATTCACTTGTGACTTGAGTCTAATGCAGCCTGTAACACAGTGAAGGACTTCAAAGGAAACACTTTAAACCCTTAAAATGGGGTAGGGCATTGAATGCTATCTCTTAGAAAAATGGTGTTGATTTTTTATGTTGTTATTATTCGCTCGTATTAATGGAGCAAGAATATTGGTAACTGTATGCATGTATGTTGAACTTATTTCGCATCGTACGTAGCCAACCGTGCTAAACGGAGGCGAAAACTCTGCAAATAAACACAAAATAAGACGGGCGTTCCGTGATGGTATTTGCACACTGAACGGGAATGTTAAGGGCTTGCAAACAAATTGAAGTCCAGTAATTTAATACCCTTTACATGCCGTGAAATATTATCGTCAGCTGGCCAGCGAAGTACCGCACAAGCAACCTAACGAGTCACTGCGAGCAAGGTTTCCCAAACGACTGTCAGCGTAACCCGCCGCGCTCCATCTTTCCCCGTCTACAATTTGCTCCCCATTCAAATACAAATTAACTTGTTCCACGCTGCACGCGCCCGATGATTGTTAAACATGCCACACGGGAGCAGCGCCAAGCAATGAACACTTTGCTTCACGTGGAAAACGCGCGCGCACACATGCAGCACCCGGATCGGCTCTCTATTAGCGCAGACAGCGTTAATTGCTCAGAGCTTCACATGGGAGTTGTTTAAAAATCATCGGGCGTGTGCAGCGCGGAAGGACTTAATTTTAATGGGGGGGGGGGGGAAATTGGTAAACACAAGTAGCGCCGACTGGAGCTTGGGAAATCCTGCTTTAGAGTAACCATTCCATTTATAACATCAAACGCGCCCTTCGTAAAACTGGGTTGATCCAGCGACGTTCCGTATCACGCTCCGTATGACTCGTGTGTGCTTGCTGAACGTGTGGCTACAGGCGCGCCAACGTGTCAACAGTCCGCGGGAGTCGCGTGGAGTCTAAACTCATTTTAGAGAGCACATTTGTGCTCTCTAAAATTTCCCTTTTGGCTCGAGTGGGGGAGTCAAAACATTGAGCCAGTACCGCCAATAATCTGGGTTTGAATATGTTCAGCCACCTGTGATTAAAGCGGGGTCTCAAGTGTAGCGGTGATCTCATGGTCTGGTCACCAATGGCTCCACAACAACAATAAAAACATTGGGTTGACTGCCATGCGACAAACACCCATGGTTTGGATAAGAGGTTGCTTGAGGGGATCTCTGAAGTAGTTCTGTGATATCACGTTCCGTGGAGCTCTTGTCTAATATGATTGTTCTGGATGGATAGACTATTGTCTTCTACTGTGAAACCACTGCAGAATGTGTCTCTGAAATATGGTGTATTCACGACAGCCTTACATTATGTGAATGGCGCGAATACCAAATGTACACGACGTTTCGACTGCAACACAAGCAATCATCATCAGGTGTGAAAACCACATCAAGAAAATTTGAAAAAAGTGGCGGTTTTTTAACGTTAGCACGTTTTAACGTTTCCCTTCTACGTGACTTTACCGATAGAACCAAGAATATATTGCCAATTTGATTGAGTCCTGCGGTCTTTCGTGCGATATTGTAGCAGCCCTGCGAGTATCACCTTCCCCCACCAATAGAGCACTTCCACTTTGAACCCTGACGAGTCGATGGACAACTCCCACGACATGGGTTACAATTGTGTGGCACATACCTGACCAGTTTATGAGATTTAATAATAGTCACGATATATGTATTGACAGTGATCATTTGCGTGATGATAAATGTTAACACGGGGGAGCGATCGGTGGCATAGTTGTTAGTGTGCTGTGCCATGAACCTGGCTACCTGAGTTCGATTTCTGACTGTGACTAACATCAGTGGGAAGTGATATGTGAACATGGTCTGAGCTCACCTGCCTTCACCAACCTGCACTGACAAGAGTGGTAAAGTATGGTCAAGCGACCCCTGTCTCTGACAAGGACTGGGGAGGCCGTAATCCAGCAGTGCATTGCAAAAAGGGCTCCATATAATGATATATTATATATTATTATTATTATTGCTATGTTTGGGTATACAGTATTTGGAGCGTATGTGGCATCATTATCCTTCTCTACAGAGTGAGCTCTCATTTGAGCATTCCTTGGAATCCCGAGCAAGACCCAATTGTGTGTCTAGACATCGGGACAAAATTGCCCTGCAGGCAAAGCATAGCTAGTGCACTAACTCTACGGGATTACTTTTCAGGATATAATACAATATCGTTGATCTTAAAAGCGACTCAGAAATCGCAATGAAATATCAGAATGGTACAGGAAGCGTCTCTCGGCATAAGCAGGGCACCTAGAGTGCCCAATCGCACCCGTTAATAATCAGGAGCGCGCGCAGAAATGGGACAAGTCCACGCGGCTTAAATTCCTGGGCGAAATGTTTGTTTCTTGGTCCATGATCTGAATTTCCATGTCTTTTTTGTACATGCAGGGTGATCCAGTTGTAGACATCCCACTAAAACACTGCATTCATTTCTGAATAACCTTCACACCACTGCTCCCACCAATCTCAGTGCACTTCTAAAATAAATATAAATAAATATATAAACATACATTAACACTGTGGTGGAGCCGTCGCGTACACAATCTACAATCACCATTTGATAATTAAGGAAGTGGGGTAATTAGAAATCAGTGGAGTAATTAGAATTAGTGGGGTATCTATGATTGTAATATTTTTCTCCCTCTCCCTCGACAGCAGTGTTCTCCATTGCAAGGCCCATGGCCCACTGGCGGCCCCTGGTGGCCTCTAGTGGGGCCCCTGATATGCGGCCCCCAACAATACACAAAGGGTGACACCCCCCCCGCCCCTCATCATCATCGTGCTGCTGTCAAAACCCAATGGTTTTCAAATGTGTGACGATGTCTTATAGGCGAAAGTGTTCCCCCTCTGAAAATATTGAAGAACACCCATCTACAGACTATATATATAAATTTGTGATGAGATGACGACGATGATGATTGTTATCATCCAATGTTAAGCAGGACACAAACTTTTGAACATTTTCCAGCTGCAGTTTTTCCATAATGTTGGGGCAACGCAAAGCAAAAAAGCCCCTTTCGAAGAGATGCAGCGTAAGAAAGAGGCGATAACGGCATGAGTTTTGAACGTTTCCCCTAAAAGCAAGCAGTAGCCCTCTCGGACATACCTAAGCTGTATGTGTCTGCCATTAAAATTCTGTCGGACACATTTAACTGAGCCCCGACTCTATTGTGCAAGCAATCTGCTTCTCTCAGCCACAGCATTAAAGGCAGCGCCTCGCATGAAACCAACGTGGAGCACTATTCATTATAAATCTTGTCTATAAAATGTCTGCGGTGAATAAATCGGCCTTCAACGCATTCCTAGTAATTTACTATGGGGGAAGGGGAAGGGGGGGGGGGGAATTATATGTGTTTTTTATGTTATGTTTTTATATATTATGGGGTTCGACTGAAAAGGAATTAAGCAACGGAGCCGCAGACGTGTGCTTATCGTGCTGATGCGTGGTGGTGGTGGTGGTGGGGAGCGGCGTAATTGAGGGCTCGGTGCTGTGTGGGGAAGAAAGCGCAGCCGCAGCTGTTTCCAGCCGCATACTTGAGGGCCGAGACTGTCATGACGAGATGTTGCTCCGTGATATGTGCCACCCCCCCCCCCACCCCCTTCACTGCACACCCTAAAAGCAAAACATACATGCTACGGGTCCAATTTGTGTTGAACAGGAACAGTCAATTTCAGCAATGCCGAGGGTTTTCTGATGGAAGGGGTTTGAGTTGTTTCCCAAACAGTCTCGGTCGTGTGTAATGGTCGCCACTCTAGGCAATTGGCAAGAGTTTCAGATTGTCTCTTTTGGGGAGTAACCAACAGAAGCCACTGACGGGGGGGTCCACCTTACTTCTGTGTTGATATAATCCAGAAACTCACAGAAAGGTGAGCCGACGTTTGTTGATTTTGGCAATTAAGTGGGAGGGGGCCTCTTAAATGCGGGAGCCCGAGCAGATTTGGCGAAATGTTCTGGTCCCCAGGATTGACGAAATGAGGGCGAGTTTATGATGGCTGCAACGTGAGCCACTCCCGACGGAAGAGCATGGGATGGAGGGCAGATAGATGGGTGGGGGGTTGAGGGATACTTTCTGTTTTGGTGACCCAACCTGAAGCAAAACTTCTGATGATGAAATGC